TTTAGGGGCTTAGGGTTTAGGGCTCCAAACCCTGAAGGAAGACGTACATGGGTAGTTCTCTAGAATAGGGTCCTTTTTTAGGTCCCTGGCACCCTGATAAATAAGACCCCCCAAAAGGGACCCTAATTTGGAGAACCACCCACATATAATTTCGGGTTTAGGGTTTAGAGCACAAGACCCACATCTCAAGCCTTAAGCTCGAGATTGTCAGCCTAAGCCCTCCAGCCTGAACGTCCTAAAGCCGTTGACCAAGAGCGCCCCATACCCCTTAATTCAGCAATATACCTTAAACCATAAGGGGCTTCATCTCATGATTCAAGATCTATTCCTTAAACCCTGAACCCCTCAACCCTTAATTATAATATGAAGCCCTTCATAGTGATTTAAGGTCTCTTCCTTGATTAAGCGGCAGTGGGCTCTCTGGGTCCAATCCTGGGAGACCCCAATATCCCTTAATTAAGGAGTATTCCTTAAATTATAGTAGGATCCTTATTATGATTTAAGGTATATTCCTTAATTAAGGGATATTGGAGTCTCTGGGTTCACAAAACGGTGGAGAGCTCCCCTAAAGGAGAGCTCCCCTAAACCCTAAACCCTAAACCCTAAACCGTCCAGGGCACCGCGCCGTGATCGAGGCCTCCTATTCCTTCGGCCGTTTCCACACTGCTGAGATGACGGCTGCAGGCCGGGCTGAGGGGGGTCCCTTGATGGTTCCTTTTACAAGGGTTCCTTTAAGGGTTACTATATGGGTGATACTATAAGGGTTGGGGTTCATGTCACACTTAGGGGCTTTGGGTTTGGAGTTTAGGGTTGAGGGGTTTGGGGTTAATGTGACACTTAGGGGCTTTGGGTTCACAGTTTAGGGTTGGGGGGTTTGGGGTTCATGTGTCACACTTAAGGGCTTTGGGTTCACAGTTTAGGGTTGGGGGGTTTGGGGTTAATGTGACATTTAAGGGCTTTGGGTTCACAGTTTAGGGTTGAGGGGTTTGGGGTTAATATGTCACACTTAAGGGCTTTGGGTTTGGAGTTTAGGGTCGAGGCGTTTCGGGTTGAGGGGTTAGGGCTTACTTGGAGGCCCAGGGGACTTAGCAAGTAGGTTATAAGTAGAGTTAAAAGTACCCTAACTGGAGTTACCCCAATTATAACCCTACTTATAACTTTACTAAGTCCCCTGGGCGTTTGGGATTGCTTGCGCATCAGGGTTGACAGTTTTGCTTCGACAAATTTGCGGGCGAAGCGCAGTCTGACAGGCATCGGCAGCCTGTCCCGGTCTCCTAAGGCACTGCACCCTGTCACCCCGTGTTTGCAACAAGGGTCGCAGGAAAAGAGCAACAGCAATGACACGTGTTGTGCGCATGATAAGAGCGGCGCGAAGGATGAAACCGTTGGGAAGCATAGGGAAGCAGTCGCAGTAATGCTTACCATGGCTGTAAACATCACCGTCATCCCTGTTATAATAAGTCACTGCAGTCGCCAGCGCTTTCATCGACAACCATCACCATCACAATCGCCATCACCATCACCATCACCATCACCATCATCAGAATCATCATCGTCGTCATCACCATCATCATCATCATCACCATCATCATCACCATCATCACCACCATCATCAACACCATCACCGCCACGGCCGTCGCCACCGCCATCGCCACCGCCATCACCATGGCCATCGCCATCGCCATCACCATCATCACTGTCATCACTTGCCATCATCATCATCATCATCATCATCATCCTCTTTCCTGTAGTGTCATTCTACGGACTACGGCCCCAAAGCCCTAAACCCGCAAAGCCCATCAAAGCCCCAAAAGCACCGCCCTAAACCCCTGAAGCCCCGAAACCCCCAAACACCGAAACCCATAAAGCCCTACCTGCGTTTCACCCTATATATTGTTGAAATTTTGCCACATCTACACCCTAAACCCCAAAACACCGAAACACCTCAACACCCAGCTCTCATAAAGATCCTCCAGCCCTAAGATCCGTAAAGCCCCAGCCTCTACCAAGCCATCCTACCATAGAGGGTTCAGGTCTTTTGGGTTTTAGGGTTTTTCGGTTTAGGGTTTTCGGGTTTTAGGGTTTAGGGGGTTTAGGGTTTGAGGGTACAGGGTTTAGGGTTTTAGAGTTTAGGGTGCGTTCCCCAAGACTGAAGCCCTTACAAAGCCCTAGAAACCTTCTACCACCCTGCAAAATCCTTACGAAGTTCTCTGAATGCCCCTGGCTGCTTGCAGCCGGAACCCCAAAGCCCTAAAAGCGTAAACCCCGGAACCTTATACCTGAGCCCTAAACCCGAAACGCGAAGCCCCAAAACCCCAAAACCCTGACAACCCCAAAACCCTAAAAACCCCAAAACCCTAAACCCTAAACCTTTACTGTAAGCCCCAAGCCCTATACTTTAAGCCTTTTTTGACAAGCCCAAATCCCTGGGAGGCAAGTACCCACCCTCGCAGACCTTCGTCCTGGGTTGCGGCGTCGCCGGGCTGGCGGCCATCGGAACGTCCAAAGCCATGGGCTCCGTAGCCCGGCCCTAGGGATTGAAAAGGGCTGCTTTTTGAGTGTTTATGGTGTTTAGGGTTATAAACCCTAAACCCTAAACCCTAAACCCTAAACCCTAAACCCTAAACCCTAAGCCCCATAAACCGTATTATTAATAGGGTTTATGGGGCTTAGGCTTATGTTTTAGGTATTAGGGTAACGCCTTGAAGGATTTCTAACGCCCTGTAATGTAGGGGCCTTAATAATTAGAATAGGTTTTTGGGGGTTCCTTAGTATAATTATAGTACAATGGGCCTCAGGGTTTATAGTGTTTATAGGGTTTACGGTCTATAGGGTTGTTTAGGGTTCGCTGCTAGGGTGCTTCCCAAGAAGGGCTTTAGTGTTCCTTTATTTACATGGTGGTTCTAGTTCAAGGGTTCTAGATGGCTGGGTTCTACTATGAGGGTTCTATAAGGGGTTCTACAAGGATTTCTACAAGGGTTCAGGTTTTAGGGCTTCAGAGTAAACCCTAAACCCTAAGCCCTAAGCCCTAAACCCTAAACCCTAAACCTAAACCCTAAACCCAAAACCCTAAACCCTAAAGCCTTTTCATGCGGAGAAAGGCCCAATGCACTTAAAAAAACCCCTAAAGCCCTAAAGCCCTGAAGCCCTAAACCCTAAAGCCCGAAAGCTCTAAAACCCTAAACCCTAAAGCCCTAAACCCTTAGCCCGGTCGAAGCGCAATTTGGGGCTTCCTAGAGGCCTCTTCGGGCTTGGGATGTAGGGTCCAGGGTTTAGGGGCTTAGAGGATTCAATCCGTGAATCCATCGAGGTCGTGCGGGCCTGGGATGTCCGCGATGTCTCCGACCAGGCAACCTCGGGTTTCAGTACAGAAAAGCGGCTGGAGTCGGCTTTAAATTCGGGCTCTAACTCAAACGCGGATTTAGGGGTCTAGGATTCAGTATTTTATAGCTCTGCTGTTTCGAGGTTTGAAGTTTACGACTTCAGTTTTTTTTTGGGAGGGGGGCCGGGGGGTTTGGTTTAGGGTTTTATCATCACCTGGAGCTGGACAAACTGAATCCCTACGATGCAACGCATGTCCCCACCATTCTCACCTTCATAATGCAGGAGCGTCAGCAACTGACCATACACACCGAAAGCCGTAGTCGCCCTGGTCCAATCCTAATGAGACCCATGTAAAGGAAACTCTTACATGCTCCTGCAAGATTCTTTAAGCCCTAGACAATCAACCCAGTACCTTCATGCAGTCGGAAAAAGGTGTCAACAAAAGCTCTAAACCCTGAACGATCAAGCCTAAAGCCTAAACCCTAAACGAAAGTAGTCATTCAGGCCCTTTCTTTCCAGGCCTTGCCGAAGCTCCGATGTCCTGATAAGGGCTTTGAGCGGCCCTATTGGAGCAGGGTAGGACTTCAATATTAACCGAAATAGGGTTTAGTTTAGGGTTTAGGGTCTAGGGTCTAGGGTCCAGGGGTCCGGGAGTTCAAATTTCATGCTTGGTTCATCTTCCATCCTATTCTTATAGTAGACCCTGCAGACTAAGCGCCTACGGATTCGCTGAGATGCCGCACCCTGCTCTCTTGAACCCTAAAGCGCGAACACTGCCCATAAACCCTAAAACCGGAAGTAACCTTAAACCCTAAACCCATAAACCCTAAAACTTAAAGTTGACCTATCCCCAACCCCAAAACCCTTCTCACAACCCTGACCCCTAGGTCCACTCCATGGGCGCCAAGTGGGTCAGCGTGGACTTCAAGGCACGTTTGGGGTTTTGGGCTTAGGGTTTTGCGTCTAGCCCTAAACCCTAGACCCTAAGCCCTAAACCCTAAGCCCTAATTAGGGTTTAGAGTTTATGGTTTTGGGCTTAGGGTGTAGGCTGTAGGGCTTAGAGAGCCCAGTGCCACTGAATTAAGGAATAGACCGGGTTGAGGGTTGGAAGGGTTTAGAGTTTAGAGAGTCCAATACCCCTTCGTTAAGGAATACAGCTTCAACTTCATATCATGATTGAAGCTATATTCCTTAATTAATGGCGTATTGGGCTGTCTGGGTATACGGGTTCTAGAAGGGTCTTACAGAGGTTGTAGAGTAACAGCTGATACGATTCATTCATAACATCATAACACACTTCCAGATAGCCCCAGATTTTAGTCTTAACATAGACAGTTCAAGGTAACCCTAAACCTCAAACCCTCCCCAGATATGACCCTTGATATAGATAGTTACAAGGTGACGCAAAACCCCAAACCCTAAACTGCCGAGAGCACCGCTGACCGTTTGCGCGGGCGCTCCAGGCTCCGACCGAGGCCCCCGCCTCACGCACCACAGGCGTCAGCAGATAAAACTAGGACCCCAAACCCTGCACCATTGCGAACACCGTCTTGGGGATGACCTGCCAGATTGCCGGAAAAGGCCATTAGGAAAAGGCCATTGCACAGAGGCCTTCTGGCCAGGCTTTAGGGGGCGACTTTCCCTGCCAGGATAGGTGACTACACTTCGAACGACGGGGCGGGTTGTTTGTTGGAAACCCTTGCTTCTCGTCGAGCGGCCGGCACAGGCCGCGAGGACCCACAACCCACAACCCCACACCAATCCATCTCAGCTGTGGCTTGCTGTGAAGTGTGGTGGTTTATGTGTCGAACCGCGAAGGGAGGCACAGAGCAAGAAAGCCCCTTGGAGGGGTTTTGGGGGGTGAACCCTAAACCCTAATTGAGAATCGTTGGGGTGGTTGGGGCGGGACTACATGCTTACAGGCACACCCGCCGTGCGCGCACTGTATACACACACCGTAATCCCAAGCCCTAAACCCTAAACCCTAAACCCTAAACCCTAAATCCCAAACCCTGAACCCTAAACCTCTAAACCCCTAAACCCCTAAACCCTAAACCCTAATCCTTATAGAGGGGTTGCCGCATGGGATTTCCGTTGGGTTAACCTCGGGTTCCCCTCGCTTGGGGTCCTTACATCAAGCATCGTACTTCTCGGGGTTTACATGGCGGTTTGGGTGTTTGGGGTTGAGGGAGTTGAGGGTGTAGGAATTTCGGCTTTAGAGTTTCGGGTCTACGGTTTGAGGTTTGGGGTTTAGGGTTTACCCTAAACCCGAAACCCTAAATCCTAAACCGTGTATATGGAAGGATTCAGGGTCCCTTATGTCCGGAAAGTCTCAACACGCCTGTTCGCAACCACGCCGAGACTCCGCACCCTAATATCGTCACCTGAAGCACTTTTTTCGCCGCCTTTTTGCGCAGTAAACCGTATGAACACCTTTTTAAGCGGAGCAGGTCAACAAAGACACGCTAAGACCCCGAATAGAACGCTACCCAAAGCCCTAAGCCCAAACGCTCAAACCCTAAACCCCCAACCCTGAACCCTAAACCCTAAACCTTAAACCCTGAATCCTCAACCCTAAACCCTAAACCCCCAACCCTGAACCCCAAACCCTAAACCCCTAAACCCTAAACCCCAAACCTCGAACCCTAAACCCTAAACCCTGTGAGCACTACCCTCTTGAGGAGAGTGGCGAGGGCCAGGGCGGTTACGCCAAGGAATCCTCCGATGCCTTCAAGAAGGTGCAGCAGGAGACTTTCAAGACTCTTCGATTCCGTTTAGGGTTTAGGGTTTAGGGTTTAGGGTTTAGGGTTTAGGGGCTGCAGGTGGCAGATTTTTGGGGTTTCAGGGCTTGGGGTTTAGGAGTTTAACTCGGGTCTCAGAGTGAAAGGAGACGTTTAAGATACTTATCTTCAACTCCTTCGTTCCTTTGACAGGTTCCTTTGAAAGGTTCCTTTTTGAGGCTTCCCCTACAAGGATTCCTTTGAGAGGTCGATAAGGGCTTAGGGGTTCAGCTTTAGAAAGACCTCGATATCCTCTTCGTAGTGGAGTGGGTAAGGTTTGACTTTTTTGGGGTATGGTGATAGCACATGGCTTCCTTTGAATGTTTTACAGGGTGTGGGGTTTAGTCGTAGACTGTGTAGTTTTTAACCCGTTTAGGGGTATTGCAATAGCTCACGTATTGAGTAGCTAATTACTTGCAGTAGCCCTTGACGTAACGCTTACTTGGAGGTTCATGCGTGGTTACCAGTGGGAGTATACATCCCCTGATATGGGTTATTTTAATTCGAGGTACCCTCCTTGTCACCCCACTTAGAGCTACATGCCCATGAACCCCAAGTACCCAACCCTATACCCTAAACCCCAAACCCTAAACCCTAAACCCTAAACCCTAAACCCAGGAAAGTCCTCTCCGAGTGCGACATCGCCATCTCCACAGCCGCCATCCCTGGGCGACCCTCGCCTCTTCTGATCACCAAGGACGCCGTGTCCGCCATGCGTCCGGGGAGCGTCCGGGCCCCGGGGGGTGTAGCATCTGTCGCATTTTATAACAAAGCGCTTGAGTGTTCTGTGACTTGGTAGGTCTTTTGCAGATCTTATAATATTTTTCAATTTGTTTAAAGGGCGATTTAGGGCTTTGGGTCCAGAGGCAGGGCAGCCCGATGGCTGGATGACGGGAACGCGCAGGAGTCGTTAAAAAGAGGCAGCCCGCAGGAGTGCCTGCGAGCTCAGGCAGAGGTGTCTTCTGCGCTATGCCCTAGAAAGCTTAAATACTCTACACACTCGGGGAATGCTACAAGCCCCGTACGTTACAGAGTTCTCAACAAGCTTGTAAGTAAATTGTTTTTCACAGACGTTGCAAGACATCTTCACCCTTTACCCCAAACCCTAAACCCCAAACTCCTAAATTCCTAAATCCCTAAACGTCTGAAGCCTAATTACAGCCTCAACCGCGCAAGCCTTGCAAACCCCAAGCCCCACACCAAAGCCCACTTCACCGTAAGCACAAAAGCCCTAAACCCTTAGCCGTAAACCCGAAACCGAAAACCCTAAGCCCTAAACCCATAACTAACGCCCGCAATCCCCCTAAACCTTAAACTCGAAAACCTAAAAGCCCCAAAAGCCCTAAAAGCCCTAAAAGCCCAAGCCCAAAACCCCAAAGTAAACCCTCAACCCCCCATTAAAAGCCCTAAACCCTGAACCCCAAACCCCTTCAAGACACCCTGTAAACCCCTCCAAGGAGCCCTTTAAAGGAACACCGAAAGCCCTTCTTGGAGGGTCGGGGGACTTAGTAAGTGGGTACTAAGTAGACGTATAAGGACCCTAAAAGGGATCCGAATTGGGGTTACGATACTTATAACTCTATAAAATACCTACTTACTAAGTTCCCTTCAAGACACCCTATAGACCCCTTTAAGGAGCCGTTTAAAGGAACCCCGAAACCCTAAACCCTAAACCCTAAACCCTAAATCGCCCTGGGAACCCTCCGGAAAGGTCGTCGTGGATCTTGCGGCGGCTGGTGGCGGCAACTGTGAGTTGACGAAGCCGGGGGAGGTCGACGCTTTCAGGGTTTAGGGTTTAGGGTTAGGGTTTAGGGGGTTCCCCCCCCAAAAAAAGGAAACTACAGGTGGGGAGTTTAGGGCACCTGAAAATGTCCTAGACCAAACTAGGGGCTTAGGGGTTTAGGGTTCAGGGGTTTAGGGTTGAGGACCCCAAACCCTAAACCCTAAACCCTTTAGGGGTTCAGGGGTTTGGGGGTTTAGGGGTTTGGGGTTTATACGGGTTTGG